ATTTTTTAAATGACTCGTCAGCTGATTTTTTTTTTTTTTTTGACATGATCAAATCGTTTCATAATTGTATTACACAATTAGTACTAGCTGAAAATCTACTTACATTAGGTACGATTATGTGCCGTAGAAATATAGAAAAAGTTTAAAAAAACCAGAAAACAAACAAGCATGTGCCATTTTTTCCTTTTTATTTTTTATTTGTTTTTAGTAACTTTTTTTTTTAGATTTCTTGACAAATATATTTATTTTTAGGTACATCTAAATTATTTGCATCTAAAAATTTAAAAATGGAGGACAAAAAAAATAAAAAATAAATAAAGAAATCAAAACTCAAAAAAAAAAAAAATACAAATACACCACATGAGGTTTGCTTAAATACGAATTACTCATTGTAATTCTGAAATATATATTCCAATTAATAATTCTATTAATTTTATTGTTGTATAAAGATTAGTTAGGAATTTTATTTTTTTATTAACTCTATTAATTAAATAAAAAATTCTACAATGAGATATTTGTAATTCTCATAACCATATATGACAATTCGTATTTTGAGCAAATCTCAAGAAGTATATTTATAATTTATCAAAAAAATTCAAAAATTAAACCAAACAGACTAATTTTTGTTAATAAAATTCTACCCCACACAATGTTGTCTAATGTATATAGATTTTCAACTGGTACACACAAAATTCCACGGCCCGAAAATATTTTTTTAAAAAAATTTTTTTTATTTGGGATACACTAAAAAAGTGCATTTATTTATCTTATTATTTTTTTTGGTCATATTATCTCCCTACTTTTTTACGTATCTTTTTCATAAAAAGTCAAAAAAATATATTTATTTAGATCATTTTAAAAAATTGTGATTGAATTTTGTATTTTTAGATAAATATTGAATTACGATAAATAAATAAATAAACAAGTTACCTAAAATAAGTGGGATTGCGGTGTATGTTTTCTTGAATTGAGTTATCTCTTTCCCAATCATAAGGTGCCACATTCTTTGGATTGAAGGAATTCCTACGTACTGGGGGTGTTTGGCAAGTTGAATTTTAGCTTTTTTTTGTTAAAATTTATAAAACAATAAAAAAATAAAAAAAATTAATAAGACAAAATATCACATTAAATTCATAATTATTTCATTTTTTCTCTTACAAATATTATATCAAACTATAAAAAATCTAACTATTTTTTTAAATACAAAAATTTTAGATTATTAGAGCATCCGCATCAGAATAGCCAAAATAACAAAAAAGTAAGATATAGCTAGTAAATCACAAAATTGTTCCTCCATCAGGCTCAACAAATTTTTTGTAAACTAACTTTTTGTTAAATTTGCTACAGTACCTCAACAACTTTGATGAGGCACTGTTCATTAGTTACATGATTTTTTATTATATTTTGTGGAGCAAAATTGGGCCAAAATATTTAAATCAGTCGTCCACTTGGATGTCCCCCCGGATATCCCACCAGATGTCCCGTGAGTGCCTATAGCAGAAGAAGAAAAAATGCCGAAAATTAGTCTAACCGGTCCACTAGCGGGGCAACCGGCTTGTCAACTGGTCAACGGCAATTTTTTTAATAAAAAAACAAAGAATAACAAATATAATAAGAAATTAATATTTTAATAAGATTGAGTTAGAATAGAGAGTTTGATATAGTGAATACTAAAAATGTGACTAACTAAAATAACAAAAGTGGATTTTGGATTATAATTTGACTCAAAATTTGTTGAACTTGATGTGGTTGCTCTTAGGCCTATTTTGGCAAGCTGGTTAAAAGTTCTTTTTTGACTTTTTGACTTTTTTGAGTCACATCATCTCTCTACTTTTTTACACGTTTTTTTTTTAAAAAAAATTTAAAAAACCAAAAAGTCATCTTTCAACCAACTTCTCAAAACAATCCTAAAATAGTTAAAAACTAAAATAATTTACTAAAATAACAACATTCCAAACACTCTCATTGAGTTAGAGGAAAACATTTGCCTTTTTGTTTTTACCCTGTTTTGTTTTTATTTTTGTTTTTGGTATGCTAGTTGTAGCTAGGGGTGAATATCGGTCCATTGACCCATTCAGATTGCCTGGTCCGATCTTATTTTTTAAAAATTTGGGAAGATTGTTTTAACTCATAAGGTTGGATTGGACTAACATTTTCAGTCTGTTATATTAATGGGTTTGGCTTGGGATTTATATTTTAAACTCAATCCGATCTAGGCCGTTATTAAATTAATTAATTAATTAATTAATTATAATATATTAAAATGTATCCTTTTTTTTTGGAGATCTAAATTTTATTAAAACTCATATTTGTGGTGATGTGTGATCGGATTTATTTAAGAAATCTTGTAATTTATACACAAAATCTTTTAATTTTGGAAAAATTAGTGAAACATCCCTCTCCAACTTTGTTTAGTAGGAGGGGTCCAAGATATTTTTTTATTAGTTAAGGTCTCTCAACATTTTCACAGTGAAAATTCGACTTATAGAAATTTTTTCCTACTTAGAGAAATTTCTCCCTACTAAAAAAAAAATTCAATTTTCACAGAGAAATTTTTTTGGTATAATCACAGAGAAATTTCAAAATTTTTCTAAGTTGGACAAAATTTTTCTAAGTCAATTTTTCATTGTGAAAATATTGAGGGACCTTAACTATTATGAAAATATTATATGTCCTTTATCTTATAAAATCATAATATAAGGAATCTTAAAAAAAATTTCTTTAATTTATAATGATGTCAATATATTTATTAGAGATAATGTGTAATTAGATTTAATTATGAAATATTTTAATTTTAAATTTTTTTTTACATATAACCTGATGGGTAACTTTGAGATTTATAATTATTTTTTAAATTAGACTTTGGCAGATGTAGAGGCGCTACACCGGATTTAGACAAATATAAAATTTCTTATTACGTAACACCAACCCATCTCAATTCCGACCCGACCCAACAAATGCCGACCCCTAGTTGCGACTAGCATTTCTTTGACACTAACAAACAATTGAATTTGAATAGTTTGTTGGACAGAATCACACTTCAACACTTCCTGATTTTTGATTTTTTTTTTTTAGGGTGAATAAAAAACATAACTTACAGCATTTTCAATGATTATAGCTAAATTAACAAAATCAAACCAATTTTTGGACTGTTAGTTTTTGTTATTTTTCATAATTTTGCTCCAATAGTGACAAAATTATTTTTTTACCACATCTACTATTTCAATCGTAAATCATCTCACTGTAATCACAGTAGTTAATTACGTAGGGATGTTCAAATTAGCAAGTGAACCTAAAAATCAAACCAAATTGATCACTTTGGATTAGATTAGTTTTATTTTTTAGTGCATTGATTTGTTTATAGGTTTTTAAATCATTAAATCAACAGGATTGGATTGATTTTTGGTTTAGATTTTATCTAAACATTATACAACTTATTTAAACACACTCTACTATGTAGCCTAAATCTATAATTTGGCATGAAGGTTTGGGTTGGCTTGGGGTTATTTTAGCCACAAAAATATAAAATAAATTAAAAAGTCAATAAGATAAAATGTCACCTGCAAATCATAATCATTTCACAAAATTCAAAAAAAATCAAAAAGTCTATCCCAAACTAACTGTTTAGCCCCAGGTTAAAATAAATAAAAAATTAAAAAGCAAAAAAACCAACACACATTCCAAATGAAGGCAAACTAACAATTGTACCAAACATAAGTAAAAGGTTCAGTTCAAAGTTATAATATATAATCTGTATGTAAGTTATAATTTATAATATTTTGATGGTTACACATGTTACCCAAATTATTATATTTTCTATAGTCCAAATTTATCATAATAATCAGTGTGTTTGGTTTCAGTTTTTTGAATTCAATTTTTTGGAAATTGAATTTTTTGTTTTTCTTATTTTTTTGTTATTAGTGAATATTTTTCACATTTTAAGTAATTTTTTTACTTTGTTAGATGCACATTACTTAGATGTATCTAAATAGTAAAATATTTGTGAAAAAATATTTTCAAAAATTAATAAATATACAAAAATATGAAAAATGTACTGAATTTTCATATATATATATATATATATATATTTTGTATTTTTCATATTTAGTGAATTTTTAAAGATTGCTTTCACAAATATTATACATTTTAAGTGTATTTATGTTAAGTGTGTCTAAAAATTAAAACAATTACTTAAAATATTAAATAAAAATTCAATGAAAACAAAAAAAATATGAAAAATGAAACGGTAGAATTTTTTTAAAAATAAATTCTAAAAACTGAAAACAAATAGAATGAATAATTGTGCATCGCACAGACATCTTTTACTTATAATTATTGATTTTGTAGATCATTAATTTAAAATACTTTTAAAAAATTGTAAATCTATTGTTACAGTGTTCAATAGTTTGTGGGAAAAAAATTTGAAATTGTTTTATTAAATAAATTGTACATAATTTTTTGAACAAATTATATTAGTGGCCCTGTGTTTTGTCCATTGTGTCATCTTATTTCTTGTAATTTTACTAGTTTAATTTTGATCCTTAAATTTTAAATTTTGTGTTAATTTGATCAAATTGATAATGTCGATTAGGGTTTTGAAGGAGAATGACCAATGAGTTCGTTGAAAACTCACTAAATTGAATAAGTTTATAATTTTTTATATAAAAATATGACACATGCAGATCATGTTTGTTTTTGTTTTTTTAATAATAAAAAAATTAATAATTGTAATCAATTGAATCAAATTATAAAATCATAAATTCAATAGTAAAATCCAGCCAATTTAAATCATTGGTGTGATCATTAATGCTGTGTTTAGTTAAGAGATTTGGGAAAAGATTTAGAAAAGGAAAGAGAAAAAGTGTGTGAAACTAAGTAAAATATAGATATATATTTTATTCACATTTCACATTCTTTTTCCATTTCTATTTCCCTTTCTAAATCTTTTCCCAAATAAAACCAAAATATAGGAATAACTACAACAGGAGTACTTTGAATTCTCGTCTGTAATAAATATTTCCCTGAACATAACAAAGAAAACCAGATTTATTAAAGTAGAAATTAAATAGGAGGTAAAAAAGAAAAAAGAACAAAAAATAGAAAGTAGAGAGGAATTGGAATCATAGTCTCAAAGTTCTCATTTTACAGACACACACAGAGAGAGACTAAAGTACACTCTAAACTCTCTTTGTCTAGTTAACGGTGACTTTGCCAACCATGCCAGCACCTTGGTGAGGAGTACAGTAGAAACCATAACTACCTTTCTCAGTCAAAGTCACAGCATACGTCTCTCCCGGAGCATTCAGAAGGTCCTCATCACTCATCGATATCTTCGTCGCGTCCACCCCAGAAGGCACCTCGTCCTCATCGAACACCACGTTGTGTGGGAACCCTGCATTGTTCTTGAACACTATCTTCTCCCCCGCAGCCACTGAGAAGCTGCTTGGTTCAAAAACCAACCCACCGTCTGAGCTTCCCAGCAGCACCTCGATGGCCATGGCGTTTCCGGCCAGGATTGCACTGGCTGCGGTGGCAACGACCGCAGCCACACCGGCTTCTTTCAGCGAAGCCTTGATGCTGAGCTTTGGGAGGAGTGGAGTGGCGGTTGACACCTTGGCAGTGGTGGTGGTCATGGGTCTGCTAGCGGACTTTAGGCCGGTGAATGATGGGATGGCAACAGCAGCAGAAGAGGTGATGCCTGCCATTGGGAAGGATTTCAATTCCTTTGCTTTCTTTTGGGAGGGAGTTAGAAGGGAAAATCAGAAGGAAATGTGAGGGTAAATGGGAATTTAATAGGAGGGGAGAGACTAAAAGAGATGTGTTTGATTTGTGTGAGATAGGAAATGCGTGGCAGGGACGATGGATAGGGAAGTGGGTTGGTTTTATCTAAATGGATTGATATTATTGGTTGGGCTTGGATTCTATCCGGTGACGTGGCTTGGATGTTTCCTATGTGAGGTGGAAAATAAGAGTAGCGCAAAGTATGATAAGCTTTGCAGGTGGAAAACAAACAGCATATGAAAATAACTAGTCTCTAATTATTATTTTTATTTCTTTTAGGGTAATTTCAAATTAATGAGAAATTTTACAAATTAAAAAGTAAAAGTATAAGTTTTTTTCTTTAATGAATTTATAAATAACTTTTAAAAATACTTCTGTGACGTAAATTCTCTTATTTTTTTTCAACTTGGTAGAAAGAGAATACTAGAATTATGCATAATAGAACCGTAAGACTTGAACTCAAATATCTCATCAGATAAGGGTATACCTCATTTTTTTCAATCTTTTAGTCATTTTTTATTTTTGCCTTATATATATACATATATATATATATATATATAAATTGGACAGAAATTTAGGCAAAATCGTACTCAGCTAGTAAGCTTTAGATTAACAAACGAAAGAGAAATAATTGAGGCTTAAACCATCTCCAACCCTAGTATTAGATTTGTCATCAAATTTAAATTTGATGAAACACGCTACTTTTTGGGCTCCAATCGTGGCATCAAACCCGTATCAAATGAGAGGAAAACTAAAAATTTCATTAAATTAAGGGAGCGTTTAACCTTTTATCAAATCTCAATAGTGATCGTTGGTGGATGATCGGATGGATGACTGGCCGATCAACTGAGTGGACAACTGACCGAACTTGACCAGTTGGGCAATCGGGTGGACGACCGAATTGAAAAATTTTTGAAGAAAATTTACATTAGGCCAAACTACCACTGCCCCGATTGACTGGTTGTTTGATGAAAATTAAAAATCTTCTTCTTCTTCTTCTTCTTCGTTCTGCAACAAAAACACGAAAAAAAAAAATCGACACCAAAACGACGTCGTTTTGGTGTCGAGCCAAACTCGAGCCACGGGTTTCGAGCTACGTAGCACTACCGAAAAAAAATTATGGTATGAAATCTTTCAGTTAATAACCACAAAATATTGAGTGAAATGATTGTTAAGTGCTTGTGTGGTCACGTTGGTTGGAGTTGTCATCCCATGGAAAAATTCAAGGCTCGTACAAAATTAGATCAATGTTAACCATCGAATTTGTTTGGATAAATTATAAAAAAAAAATACACAATTTCGCATGTTTTTAAATTAAATTTCAAAATTTTAATTGTATCAATATAAATTTTGAATTTTAAACTTTAACATAATTTAAACTCTCAGTCTATACTCTATATTAGTTAAACTATTTAACGAAATCTTTTATATAATACATGTAACATATTCTTACATGGTCCATTTACTTTGATGATACAGTTTGTCCCAGCGAATGGGTCGGACTAGTCCAAGCTCCTCAAGCCCAAGTCCAAATGATCAAGCCTACCGGATAACTTGCAAACAAGTTCAACGGGGAACGGGGTAGTCCCCCAGTGAACCCTCCGACGAGCAAGTTAGGAAGAGAAGTAGAGTGTAGATAGAGAGATTAGAGATAGAAAAGCTTAACCTTCTTCTTATCTTCAACGTTTGCTTATATCCTTTGGTAATCATTTCTTTGTCCCTTCCGACCTGACCTCCTCCCCGAAAGTCTATGCTGTAGCTTACCTTGTTCAGGGTAAGGGAGTCCTGTTCCGACGGAGAGGTGTTGTCGTAATAAATGCTGTGATGGGCTGCATTAATGGTGATGTGCAGTGGCAATAACTTTGCAGATCTTTGTCTGCTGAGGTGGCTTGCCCTTTACCTGAATATCATTGGTCCTTCATGTCATGTTGACTTCCAGCTGTGCTAGGCCTTATCAGTTGAGTTATGTATTGGACCCTAAGTGGTAGACTTGGATTGTTCATAATGGGTTATGGCCCTTATGGGCCTACCCACGTCAGCAAGTAAGCGCGTTCAAGTATTGCTGTAAATAATGTTCATCCACTACCTAGAGAAAGACAACAATCATAGTTATACGTAGAGATGAAGGCACAAAGACTTCTACAAGCTTTTCCAATTTTTTCCTTAGAGAGACCCCTTTTTCATATAAATTAAAATAAATGGTCAGAGCTATTTTCATAAAATTTGAAGATATTGATTTTCAACTTATCTGTATTTAGAAGTCCAAAGAAAAAAATTAAAGTAAATTATCAATAGGTTCTAATAGTTGGAGTTAATTTTCATTAAATCCTATTGAAAGTTGGTCTTAATTAATTGTCGCTAAGTGAGGTGGAGGGGCGTGGGGCTCGAGAGGCGGCGTGTCATGTGGTGATTTGAAGTGGAAAAGACAAGGTAAGGGGAGGAGACAGTGGATCGTGGTCGTACACGTGGCAACATCCCACGGGGGGGGGAGATTAGGCGTTAGATCAGAAATGAAACGATAGGTCATTATGGGTGTTGAAAAGACAGTTTTGGCAGATGATTCGAAAATTTTTCAAGCTGGCGAAAATTAATTGGGATCCTTGGAATACGGGCAAACCGTGGGCTTTTGGCATTATTCGATTCACCTACTTGTTTATGAAAAATCAAAATATTCCAAGTGTGAATTCCATTGTTGCTCGCGATACACCTCTGCAACACTTTTTCAACTTCCTTGCACCTGCATCTGAAGCGATTCGCAGGCATACCATAGAAATGGCCCAAGAAGAAACTGCGAATGTCAGGGTGGATTCACTTGGTGATGATGATGCAGTGGAGTTAGCACAACAATATAGGATGGAGAGGGTGGGGGAGTCGGTGGTACGATCCCATGGTTCCACTACGATAGCAGCTCCAAAGCCAATCAGCCAGGCAGAACCAGATCACTGGCATACAAAGGCAGATAGATTAACGGTTACTGCAGTAGATTTGGAGGCCATTCGCGAAAAATACCAGGTGCCTGCTGAAATAGAGTTGTTGTTGCCGATGTCAACGGAGAGGCCATCCGACACCAGGCCAGGGGAGTTTGTCCTTTATGAGGAAGCATTAAAGGGAGGACTGAGGCTGCCCCTGCCGCAAGTGGTGGTAGATGTCCTGAATCGTTTGGAGGTAGCGCCGGGCCAACTAATGCCCAATGCGTGGAAGATCTTACTGGCCTGTGCAAGTGTGTGGCCGAAGGCGAACGAAGGGGCAGCCATGACAGTAGACGAATTCTTCGTATGTTACAAGGCCTTAGGGTAGCAAGAGACTTGGGTCACTCTGCAGGCAACGGTAAGGAAAGGGCTGGTGGCGGGGCTGCCGTCGTCGATCAAGGGGTGGAGACCACGGTGGTTCAATGTATCTGCCAGTGGAGAGGTTGGAGTGCGCACCATTTGGAAAGTACCCACCAAGTGTGTGGAGCCAAAGTTGGGAGCAGCAACAGAGGAGAGGGTGAAGAGGGTAAAGGAATGGAGGGAGAAGGAAGGGGACAGGTGGAACGAGCTCGTTCAGTCGTTGGCTTTGTTTGAGGCAGGGTTGGGTCCACAGCCGAGTGGTGGGGACCTCGACCGAACGAAGTTGGAGGCAAGGAGGAAGGCTCAAGAGGCAGAGGATCAGACCATCCTTGCAAAAGCCCAAAAATTCAAAAGAGTCTCAGGCAGACCGACCGCCAAAGTCAGTTGCAAGGGAGAGGATCCGACCGCGACCTAAACCCTTGGGGGAAAAAAACTTAGGTGAATTTGTGCCACGACCGCCCCCAATAGATCCTTTGAAGGAGAGGTCGTTGAAGGAGATGGAGGTGTTGGGCATAGTGAAGAAGAAGAGGAAAGTGAGGAGGAGTGAAGAAGAGCCTGCCCAGAAGAGAAAGAGGGAAGTGAGGGCAGAAGAGACCAGTATGGCGAAGGAGGCAGAAGGGGGGGAAGTGAAGGAGACCCCAGCTAGAGTGATTGCCCCAGAAGTGGTGGACATTGCCTCAAAGGGCATGGAAGTCGTTCCAGTAGTGGCAGCGATCGCCGTAGGGGTCGCGAGGGTCGCCCCTGAAGTGCAAGTAGAAGGTGGAGCAACTGGCCCTGAGCCAAGGAGGGGAGAACAGCCCCAGAGGGGTCCTGCACCCCAAGGAGGGGGAGTTAGTCTGACAACTGCGATCTACCACGCTCGTGCAGTGGCTGGGCGGCTGGAGGGAGAAGAAGGCCTAGCCAGGGCAGGGGCAGAGCGCCTTGTGGGGATAGTAGAAGAGGCAGCCTTGCGCTCAGCAGCCAGATTCAATGAGGCTGAACTGCTGAGGGGGTTATGCTCCGCTCAAATAGAGGTAACCACCTTAGTAGTGGCTCTGCTGAGGAAGGCGGTTGCTGCAAAAGTCAAGGCAGATGAGGCCAAGACTCAGCTTGCAAAGTTGAAGGGGAAGAGTGCAAGTTGGGAGAGTGCCCACGTTGATCTGCAAGCGGTCAAGGTGGAGCTGGAGAACACACGCCGCCAGGTTGTGTCGCTCGAGTTCCAACTGGCTGGCGAGCAGAAGAGGTTGAATGAGACCCAAAAAGCCTGCGCGGTTGTAGTCGAACGACATGAAGAGGCAATAAGCAGTAATGAAGAGCTGGTCAGGCAGAAGGATGAGGCAGACGTAAAGCTTAGCGGTCTACAGAAGGAGTTGGAGGGCGAGCGTGCAAAGGCACTGGAAGAGAGGGAGAGCCTTCAGAAGGAGTTGGAGGTAGAGAGAGCCAAGGCGACTGCTGAGAGGGAGACCTTGAAGAAGGAGTTGGAGGCAGAGAAGGCCAAGGCAACTGCTGAAAGGGCGTCCCTGAAGAAAGAGTTGAAGGAATAGAGGGCTAAGGCAGCCTCTGAAACGGCGACCCTGCAGAAGGAGCTGGACGAAGAGAGGGCGAAGGCAGCCTCTGAAAGGGCGGCTTACCCCGATCTGTATGTAGCAGCAGTGGATCAATTCAAGGGGTCTGCTGAATTTCAGATGGCCGTGGATGCCG